ATCAAAGGCTATTTCCACTCTGCCATATTGTTTCTCACAGTAAATATTGACTTATACGGTGATGAACTACATTAATTTTAGAAAAATTAAAATGTAATTTTTATTTTTTAAAATTTTTATCACTAAATGGATTAAAACCATAATCTATCATATATGCCACATACGTAATATGTTCCTTTAAATATGTAATGACAACTAATGAAGCAAAAAATTGCTCTTCTCTTTGGATATAGAATATAAATGATGCACAAATTGTGGTTCTATAATAAACAGGGTGTTTTAGATTTGGATTCATTTAGTTAAACCTTTAGATCTATAATCTCAAATGGTCTTAGACTATTAGGGCTAGAGGGGACCTTAGAGATCATTAGGTCCAATCTCTTAATTTTACAGATCAGGAAGTTGATGCCTCCATGGGTAAAGTTACTTGCCCAAGGTCACACAGCTAACAAGTGGCAGAACCAGGACTAAGACCTGTTTTCTGTCTCTAAATCCAGGGCTTTCCCCAGGATACAATGCTGACTCTCTTAAAATGGTCAAAAGTTAAATGAAAAATCAAATGCTGAATATATATGTTTATGTATATACACACACATATATGCTAACACACATGTATATACTCACATATATACTAACACACATGCATATGTATATATGTGCACAAATGCACATACGTACCCTAACACATACCCATATGTGTCTATATATACTAACACAATACATATATACACTAATACATTTACATATGTATACATACATTAACACATACACATAGATGTATATATACACGCTAACATATACATATCCATATGTATATACACCAACATATACACATCTACATACAAATACTCACGGCTATATATACACTAACACACATATGTAGTAATACATATGCACATATGTATATACACTGTCACATATGCATATATTATATCTACATAAACATTTATATATATATATATACTAATATATACACACATATTAATGCTCAAGGATAGTCAAAAACCACAGAATAAGAGCCTTTATGAGAACTAAAAGCAGGACTTCAGCTATAGTATTAACAATCCATATTTACATACTCAGTACTATATACAAATGGGGGATAATATTTTGGTATTACGTGGTTTTAAATTGAAGTTTTAAAATAGCTATTTGGGTAGAATCTGTGTGCAAACAAGCATTTTAAAAACACAACAGGGTAGATAGAAAGTATGCATTTTATAAGAAAAAAAAACACTTTTTCTCAACTTCACTAGTTCCTGTAATATAACACAAGAGGTATCCTGGTGTCAGAGAAAGTGCAAGACTTAAGAGCTGAGGAGACCTGCATTCAAATCCTGCCTCTGATCCTCACTCATTGTTTGGGCAAGTCATTTAACCTTTAACATACACAAAGTGGTGAAGTGGAAAGAACAAGCATTAATTAAGTACCTACTATGTACCAGGCACTATGCTAATCCCTTTACAAATATTTTCTCATTTGATCCTGGGAGGTAGGTGCTATTATTATTCTCATTTTACAGATGAGGAAACTGAGGCAGGCTTACCCAGAGTCACATTGTTGTGACTTGCCCAGGATCACACAGCTTTGCCAGGTTACATTTGAACTCAAGCCTTCATGACTCCAGGCCTAGCGCTCTTTTCATTGTACCACCTACTGGCCTCAAATTCCTTCTCTACTACTTATTACCTATATTAACCCAAGGCAAGTCAGTTAACTTTTCTTGACCTCAGTTTCCTTGTTTATAAAATTGGAGGATTGAACTAAATATCTGAGATTCATTCCAGCTCCACATCAGTAATGTTATCATTTGAAACTCTCCTAAGTCACAGAGGGGGCAGATAGGTGGCACAGTGGATACAGTGCTGGGCCTGGAGTCAGGAAGACTTATCTTCATGAGATCAAATCTGATCTCAGACACTTATTAGCTGTATGACCCTGGGCAAGTAGTCACTTAACCCTGTTTGCCTCAACTTCCTCATCTGTAAAATGAGGTGGAGAAGGAAATGGCAAACCACTGCAATATCTTTGCCAAGACAACCCCAAATGGGGATCAGAAATGACTGAAAAATGACTAAACAATAACGAAGTCACAAAGGGTTTGCTATCTACATCGGTAGAGGGAGTACTCACATTGGGAGTTCTCTTACACTAATTAAAAATCACTGACTCTTGGTGTAATCACATATTACAGAATGTTAGAACTGGAAGAAGCCCAAAGATATCATTGAGTCCAATTCTTTCATGTTTACCATGAGGGAACTGAGGTTTAGAAAAGTTAAGTAACTTGCTTAATCAAAGTTATATAACTAAATAGCTGCTGAGCTAAGACTAGAACCCGAGTCCCTTGACTTTCAGACCAGTGGTCCTGATATTTGCAGCAAAATAGATTACATAAACATTCTTGTGAAAATTCATGTCTAGGATGTTTCTAAGTCCAGTCAAAATATTTATCAATGTACAGTAATTAAATACACCTGGAAAAATAAAATTAGTTCATGGTTTTATGGTAATATTTACTAACACTAACAAAAAGGAAGCAATGGGTTTCTTTTTTTGGCATTGAAAGAACAATTTTTTTTTGTTCTTTATGACTAAAACCAAGGATACAGCCAAAATCCCTGAAGTATGTGCAAATTAACATAAATTGGCAGTTCAAGTCTATAACCAACTATTGTATGAGACATAATATACTTCCTTGAAGAAAAATAAGAAAGAACCCTGGTTTGTGAGGTTGCTTTGTGAAAATTGCATCTTCCATCCCTATTTAAATAAACACACAAATTTAGCAAAGCAGTCACCAATATTTTGAATGACCAAGTTTTACTCTGCTCTGAAACTCTTATCCCAAATATCACTAATAGAAATATATTAGGTGAAAAAAATCGATTTCAGGAAAAAAATTAATTCATGTATTTCTAAATACAGCATTTGGATGTGACTTCCAAATTCTGGCATTGCAGTCACTGCTAGCATGGTTAACATGAGCTAAGCAAACAACAGAGATTATCTGATTCTCCACATAATTTTTGCAGATCCTGCACTGACCCAGCTAACTACTATCTGAGTTAAAAGAATACACCCACCTAAAGGGCTCACATCCTTTGAATGCTTTTTATTCCTCTTGCATTCCCTCCTGACTACAGTAACTTTCAACACAGTGTTACAGTGGGATTCAAGGTCTTTTTTTTTTTAAATCTCTTTTTCTGACTTGGATTACCAAGCAGCCCCAGTTCCCCAATTTGAGTTTTTGCTGCAGCTGATGGCAGAGTGGAGAAAAAGTCCCTACGAAACAAAACAATCCACAAACCCAGCACAACTAAGTTGAGTAAGCCAGATATATGTTCTGATGTTGTTCACTGGTATTGTATTGCTGTGCATTTTCAGATACATCTCTGTTTCTTGTGTTAAGTACTTTATTTAATGTTTTGGTCTGCATAAAAGTAACAAGGTAATAAGGGGTGAGGAGATTCTTCACTCAATACTGTAGTTACAAACGAGGTAACATTTAAAAGCAGTTTGCAAACTTTAAAAAGTTCTATATAATTGCCAGCTATATAAATGCTAACTAGTTACCAAAACTACAGTTCCTGCTGTTGGGTAATGAGTACTGTAACACTCTTTATGAGAAGCCTGCTTTACATTCCCACAGCATATGTTAAAAGATATTTTGCTGACTATGGCATTTCAGGGTTTTTTGTTTTTGTTTTATTAAAGGAATCAACATAAAGACTCACAACAGACTACTACCGCCAAGCTTCAGGTTCAAGTTTTTTACATGGTCCAGCTCGGGGACGTTTTAGCAGACTCATCACGTTGCATTCTAAGTTAACTAGACTCGGAGGGTGGAAGGAGGGGCCTTGGATCTTCTAGTCTTTACCCTTTCACCAACTACAGTCTGAATGTTTTTCACCTTAGTCACCTCAGAGTGCATCGTTAAGGTATGAAAAGTTCGTTTTGAAAGTTAAAAGGGGAAGGAGGGATTTAAAAGGTAAGAAGGAGACGTCTTATTTCCTATCTTTTCCATACTTCCTTGACAACTTTTCTTAAATCGAGTCTCCTGAATAACCGAGTCTTTAGAAATGCTGTGCTTAAAGAGGATTTAATTCAAAAAAGACCAAACGAATTAACTTTTAAAAGGCCATGAACTTAAAGCTGACAGTGAATTTTCAGCTCTCAAACGGGGAATCTAGGAGCAACAGCTGCTCAATTTCTTTTGGGAACCAGCCAATGACGGGTCCTGGGAATTCAGTGAGAAGACTTAACCCACTATCCCCCTTAAGTTGGGGGAGGGAAGATAGGGGGAAAGTGTGAGGATACTGTGGATTACTTCCAGTCTAGGCAGCCAGTTAACTAGAAGCTGCCTATCTTAGGGGTCCGCGCCCAGAATAGTGTGGGTCAGCCCAAACTGTCCAGGTCAAATAAACCAGACAGCAATTGCAGGAATGATGCGGCAGATAGGGCTTGGGGGAGGATCCATCTTTACCCCCTTAAGCTCTACAATAGCCCCTTCTCCCCACCCCCACTCCCATCCCTACCTCTATAACCACCATCCCAGGTCACCCCCAGAATGTCCTTAGGAGCTCCAGCATAGACACAGCACAGTTCAGTTTGGCCGTACCATTCCCAAGGCCCCTCGGACCTTTTAGCCCCTCATCCTCCTGAACCACTCTCTGCAGCTGGTGCTGCCTGCATCTCCCAGCGCAAGCCAGCTAGCCAGTCCTTCGCCTCCTTCCCTCAGGCAGCTTCAAGGTTACCCTCTGCGTGCCCAGCATTGCAACGTACCTGCCCCCCCTCCCCTGCCTACTTGCAGCCCAAACCTAGAGGAACATCCCAATCCCGGGAAAGCCAGGTGAGAGAAGTAACTATCACCTGAGGCTAGCCCAGACAAGTAACACGCGAAGTTCCCAGCTTCTTGAGGATCCTGAACAGGAGGAGAGAAAAAAAAAGCGAGGATGCCAAGAGGGATCAACGCTGCAGTTCTGAGAGGTTCACTTACCCATGGCTGGGAAAGGGGAGTGGATGCTTCTGGCGCTGGCTTGTCGTGCAGGGGGTTGTAGACGCTAGGCTGGGAGGCTTGGTCAAGTTTGCAGGTATTGCCTTGGAGCTGTGGCCGCTGCTCGCTCTCTCTCCCGGCTAAGTCGGGGCTGGCACAAGGAAAGGGGGGGGAGAAGGGCACGTGCAGCAGCGAGCTCCACGCGGGCGGGGGTGAGCGGGCAGGGGAAAGCCAGGCTCTGTCTCTCGCTCTCTCTGGCTTCGGGCTCGCGCCACTGGAGCTCAGCTTGCGCCGGGGCTGGCCGAGCTAAGGGGAGCTGACGTCAGAGCCGGGGGGCTTTGTGAACACGGAATGAATGGAAGCCAAAGCAGGCTGGGAAGCCCGCAGCTTCCTTTGGGACCCCTGAGCAGAGGCGGGGGTTGGGAGGGGGATTTATTCACCCGCTGTGGGAAGGTCAGAGGATCCTCAGGGCTGGGGATGGCAGGCATACTTAGAGAAATGCTCAAAGCCACAGCATAGTGAACGCAAGCAGAACCTTCCCATTCTGTTGTTTATTTGGATGGGCCTTTGATAGGAAAACCAAACAGGTGTCAATTCAAATCCCTAGAAAATATGCTAATTACTATGAGCAATAATAAGTTGCATAAGCATAGCGTTTTTAACACTTTTCTACCAAAATGTATTGGTTTAACATCTTTGGTTTGCTACACCAACACGCTTCTCTTTAGAACAGTATTACTAATAACTTATTTTTACAGTGCATTAAAATTTTACCAGTAACATTCTCATAGCAGCTCTTAGCCATCCTCCTTCTTATTAAAGAAGAGCCTGGAGATTAGAGGCGTTAAGTGACTTTCGAAGAAGTAAGTGTCCTAACTGGAATTCTAATCAAGTTCTTCAAATTGTAAGGCGAGTTAACACACAGTAGAGAAGGGCTATTCTTATGTTACCTCAAATTGCTAATAAATAACTCCTTGGCTCCTCAGGCCCAATGGATGGAATTAAGAACTTCTCATCCTCCTCGGAGTCCATGGCTTCAGGGAAGGATTTCTTTAATTCTCCGGGACTCAGAAATCTCTTCAAGGCTCTAATTACGGAGATTGCCTGGGGCATCCTGCTCATTTTAGGATTCTTTTTGGTTAATTGTTTATAGCTGGGGGTTTCTTTTTTATTGTTTTGCAAAAAAAGAAAAAAAGTCATATGAACGAAGGGCTATGTATGCCATTACCAATAATTCAACCACCTGTGTTTTAGTTGGCATGGGAACTCCTTCCATCCAGGTAGACCACAATAAAGTTAATTTGTGGTTTTAGCGGGAGTATTGCCTTAGGCAGAGGTGGGATTTGAACCCAGAAATTCTTGACTTGGATCCCTGCACACTTCAGTCCTATAACTATCACAGTAGCAATAGCAGTACATGGCAGGAGGCAGATTTCGCCCAGAGATTTTTTAATAATAATTTCTTAAAAAGTTTTGAGAAAGAAAGGCGTGAGTAGAAGGGTCTCACTATCACTCTGCTGAAACATCTTGGCTCTGGAGCTTGAAGGGAACCTTTAGAGATCATTTAGTTCAATTCTCTCTTCTTATGAATGAGAGCTAGAGAGGAAAAGTGACCTAATGTTACAGAGGTAGCAAGTCTTAGCAGTCAGGGCTTAAATCCAAGTCCTCTGACTCCTAAGTGTCTGCTCTTCCCCCACCAGCAGTCTGTCCTGATCAAGGGAAAACAATATGGAGGCAGAACTGTGCAAACAATAATGGTATTTTAAACAAAAGGGTGGAGAGATGTGGACTGTATGCAAGTAACGTGGCTTATTTCCACCAGTCCCACAGCAATATCCACAATTTGCCAATCTCCATACTATTAAAAACAGAAGATATCTCCCTTGACAGACTTCTTTTCCTTCACTAGAGCCCCTCCCTTGGTGTCTGTATATGCAGGGATCCTGCTTGCCAATGACACCCAATGAATGTCACTATAGTAGGAAAGGGAAGGGAAGGACAAAGAAGGAAAATACACAAGGGGGCTGCTACTTGTTAAAGGCAAAAAGGAATCCATCCCAAGTTCTGTTTTTGGAAGGAAGCTGTTTGGTTTATTCCTACATCCTGTGAGGCTTACAGGGTACTTTGGTGGCAACACGAGGAACAGAAAGGAAAGCCTATCTCCATTATAAGTTGAAATAGTGTTTTGGTGGCATATTGTCTCATTCTGATACACAGTGAGATACAAGCTTAAGCTTTCATGCATCAAGATGAAAGTCTACCCTTTTGTCCACTTTCTGTCATTCCTTAGAAATCCTGGATTTTTTTTTTCCACCAGAGAAAAAAGGAGGAGCAGCTGTCCAAATATTAGAGCTGTTCAATACACAATGGTGTTTTAAGCTTTTTATAAAAAGAGGCATTAGGAAGACAGATGTCAGAAGTTTGAGGTGCCTTGGGTAAGATGGAATTATTACAAATTCAAAAGCTCATGATGCTTTATTAAGGATTTTATTCAAAATGAGAAATTCATAGATTACTTTGAAAAAGTTAAGTACTCATTGATAATTGAATAATTGTAGGTTTAGTAGTTCCATTTCCAAGAAGTTGGTTTTGAAGTGAATTTCTATGAATTATATTTTTTCTCAAATGACCTTAAATTGGTAAAATGTTCTCAAGGGAGAATATGAGGTCCCAAGGTTTAATTTAAATAATCACATTTAATACCAGATGATAAAACATTTCCAGGCTAAGACACTTCCACTCATTTTGACATTTTAATCATTTATTGCCACTTAACAGTGAAACCCAATTTTTCCCAACAAAGAAAATGAAAAACAGTGTTTCATATATATACATATATCTTATTTAACCAAGAAGATTTTAAGTTAGTGGAGGGTAGGAACTACTCGTGTTCTTTGTTTACCCCTCTCACCTCAACCCAACTGTTTCCATTTATCTTTTCAACCTTTCCACCACTACCAAAGGAATAAGGGGCTTTTCTCTTCTCTAAAGCTAACCCCACACGTGTGCTAAGTCCCTTTTTCCTGATTTCTGAGACCTTTTACTTTCCTTATCTACATCCTCCCCACGATCTTCAAATTCTTTCATTCCAATAATACTTTTCTTTCTGCCTTAGAAAAATGCACAAGTGTTTCCTATCTACCACACACATTTACATACTTTACTTGCTCCCATGTCCCTTTAAGAGTAGTGGTTAATATGCCCAAAGGGCAATCAAACTACGCATACCCTTTGATCCAGCAATACCACTACTGGGTCTATATCTCGAAAAGATCATTAAAAAAGGGAAAAGCACCTAAATCTACAAAAAATTTAGAGCAGTGCTTTATATGGTGGCAAAGAACTGAAAATCGAGGAGATGCCCATCAATTGGGGAATGCCTGAACAAGTTGTGGTATATGAATGTAATGGAATACTGCTATCCTATAAGAAATGATAAGCAGGCAGATTTCAGAAAAACCTGGAAAGACTTACATGAACTGATGCTGAGTGAAGTGAGCAGAAGCAGAAGAATATTGTACACAGTAACATTGTGTGATGATAACTATGATTGACTTAGTTCTACTCAGCAATACAATGATCCAAGACAATTCCAAAAGACTCATGATAGAAAATATTATCTACCTCTAGAAAAAGAATTGATGGATCCTGAATGCAGATCGAAGCATACTATTCTCACTTTTTTCCTGTTTTTTTTCCTCTTTTGTTCTTTCTTCTTTCATAATATGACTAATGTGGAAATATGTTTTACATGATTGTACATGTACAACCTATATCAGGCTGCTTGCCATTTTGGGAAGATAGAAAAATTTGGAACTCAAAATCTTTAAAAAAATGAATGTTGAAAATTGTCTTTATATGTAATTGGAAAAAATAAAATAAGATTTAAAAAAGATTAATGGTTAAAATTACTGATTACTATTCTGGATCATCTAGGAGAAGCTGACTCAGAATAAATCAAAATCTTCTCCCCATACTGCCTGAAAAGTTACTGATGACTGATTTTCCCTCTTTTAAGAAATAAATACCCTTCAGAGGTATTGATCCCCTGAATGCCATCACTGATACTTGCATGCACACTTTAATACTTCTGTGTCTCTCATAGTACTTAGCACGACTTCTTGCATTGCATGAAAGGAAAATGATAATTTGCTTATACCTTGATAAAAGTACTGCCTTCCCCAAATAAGTCAGAAACAATAAATACTGTTCTAGTATTTATATTTTATTAGGAAGGCCCATGAACAACTCATTAGAGAGCTCATAGAAGAGGGAAAATATATACACTGTGGGAAGACCAGATGTGTATGATCAGTGGAAGTTACTTTCCAGATGTGGAGGTATCTCCCACCTCAGAACTGGATCTGGGAAGACCCAATCTGTCACCAGGTTGTCTCAATGATTCTGAGTACACATTTATGCAGGCCTATGAACCAGGGCTTCCTAACCATTTTGTGTGTGTGTGTGTGTGTGTGTGTGTGTGTGTGTGTGTGTGTGTGT